GTTGAACAGGCTTCCTGCAGCTGGTGTGGGTGACATGGTAATGGCCACAGTCAAAAAGGGGAAACCAGAACTCCGGAAGAAGGGTGAGTAGAGGAAAAATCTCCCCTCATTCTTTTGGTGAGAATTAAAAGGCCTACTCTGTATATGATCCCTTGTCAAGAATTTCAGTTGTATCAAATGCTGTGGCCCTGAAGCCTTGTGTCTGTCTGCTCAACAGTGGCTTGCCTTGGTGGATTCTGCACCCCTTTACCAGGGTAATGTCCACTTTTAATATGGGGACGCTAAATTCTGAAAGAAGACTGGATACAGGGAAAAAGAAGCCTTGAATTTCTGTTGAGAAGTATGTAGATCCCACTGGTAGTGATCTCAGTGATAATTATGTACTCTGAAAGAGACTGAACTGTTTGACTTCATCATAAGGGATTTTATTTAAGCCCACCCTGAAGCACCATGGTGTTGACTTTTGCTTCCTTTAATGAGTGGATTTTAGTTCTGGCCTTTCCACAACCATCTGGATGGTTTTTGACTTCTCTCTGAACCTGTTCATAGTATGGGTGACAGTATCTGCACTGTGAGGTATACATCATAGGAATCTTGTGTAGGGAGAGCACATTGTATATACATATCCTGAAGGAGTAATGAGTTATATGTAAAATAAGGGTTTCTGAGATCCATTCTAAAAGCCTGTGATTCATATATGTGGGAATAACAAGTTTTTGTCTCATTTTGGAGTTTAGGTTAGTTTCAAAGCCTTGTTTCTCAGGATGCCTGGATATTTATTACCATACTTGGGTCAAGTTCTTATGGAGAAGTAGGTAAAGCTGTATTCCCTTTTGAAAGCACTTTACGGGTCTCTTCAGTGACCTGGGAAGTCGTCCAGAAAGGGCAGAATATAACAGAACCATCACTTTTGGGTGAGGTGACAGCTGGATGTGCTGTTGGTCTCAATCAGTGTTGTGACAGGTCTACAGATTTTTTTAAATCAGTGTGTTAGAGCATGGTTTGGCAACACTGCCTTTGTTGCCCCTAGCTAAGAATTTTTTTTTAATGTAAAAAACATTAGCTGGTGAGACAGATTTGGCCCTCAGTACTGAGTTTACCAGTCCCTGTGTCTCACCAGTTTGAAACCTTCCCTGGCTATTCTAGTCCACAATTTTCTCTCCCTTGTTAAAATCCCTTTATATGTGTATCAAACTAGTATATTTGTTTCCATATTTGTGGTATGTTCTTTAGTTTCAGGGATTCTTAGCCCCTTTTTGTCATTAACCCCTTTGGCAGATTAGATCCCTTCTCAGAATGCTGTTTTTAAATACATAAAATGCATGGGATTATGTGTCAAATGAATTTTTAAAATATCAAATTTTGGGGGAAGATCATAGACCCCCAGCTAAGAACCTTTCTCTGGATCGTTCCCCTAAGTGTATTGTTAGCATTTCAAAGGTAGAAAGCCTGTTCTCTTAGGAGTTTAAATAGAGCATTTGAGGCAGTATTCCCTATACTTGAGTTCAAGTAGTTTTGAAGAAAAGCTCTTAAGTGTTTTCAAAATTGATTCGTCTTAAGGTAGAGGAGACTTGTTCAGTTTACAAGTTTTGAGAACCAATGGCCAAGCAGCATGGTGTAAGGGAAAGCACTGCATTTGGAGTCAGAGCCCGGGTTCAAAGCCCACCTCTGCTACTCAATGCCTGTGTGACTTTGGGGAAGTACCTTTACCTTTATGGGTCCTCTTTAGGAGGCTGCGTTTAGATGGTCTCTAGGGTCCTTTACAATTCTAAATTTTTAATCTATGAAGGATATTTGTTGCTGAAGATAAGAGCTTGAACTCTGGTTGAGATTCCCAAGTATCTTTAAAGTTTATTTTTAATATGTAGTTGAGGCAAGTATGGGAGACCAGGTAAAGGAATGTCAGTATTTCCTCCATGTTCTCTAATATACCTTTAGTGTTGCATTTGTTGTTGACCTTACTTTTCCTCTGTAGTTCATCCAGCAGTGGTAATACGGCAACGGAAGTCGTATCGGAGAAAAGATGGTGTGTTCCTATATTTTGAAGACAATGCGGGGGTCATAGTAAACAACAAAGGCGAGATGAAAGGTAGTGATTTTGGTTTCTTCTGTGGTTGGGTGGTTAGTTCCTCCAAAGAATAGTACCCTATTCAGCTTTTGTTTTTCCCCCTTCTCTCTTCTGTAGGTTCAGCCATCACAGGGCCTGTTGCCAAGGAGTGTGCTGACTTGTGGCCCAGGATTGCATCTAATGCTGGCAGCATTGCTTGATTCTCCTAAAGCCTATTTGTAAAAAAAAAAAAGCCTCATTAAAGTGTCTGCCTATATATTTGCTTTCTTGCCTTGTGTCTTTTTTGCCCTGATTTTTTTCAGAGCCATTGAAATCTGAAAACTAGCCTGTGTTTTTCTTGTTCTAACAATTTGGAGTTGACCCACCTGTGGTAAAGCATTTCTGTTATCCTAAAGCAGAACCATCCGCTTGGGGTTGATTCAGTCTACTCCAATGTGTCAGTGACAAATTAGAGCATTGGCCTTTGAACAAAATGTGATCTGATTTGTAATCTTAGGGGTAGCTAGGTGGTGAAGTCAATAGATTACCTGGCCTGGAGTTAGGAGTCTACTTGAGTACAAATCTGGCCTCAGATACTTAATAGTGGAATGACCCTGGGGAAGTCACTTAACCCTGTTTGCCTCAGTTTCTTCATCTGTAAACTAAACTGGAGAAGGAAATGGCAAACCACTCTGGTAATCTTTTGTGATAGAAAGCAACTGAACAAGTAATTTTACTGACATACAATACCCTGTGTACCAGGGTTATTTCTTTTCTTTGTTGCTTCCTTGGGTCAGTGACTTGGTAGTTTTGAGTTTTCACTGTGTTGTGTTGCCAGTAGTAAAAGAGTGTTAGTTCCTTTATGTTGATTGGGTTTGCTATCTATAGAACAGCTGGGTACCAACTAGAAATACATATATGCCTTCAGATAGAATCTACTGACAAAGTCTGATTTGTGAGAGAATATGGTCTGTTTGGATTATTTAGGAGAGGGATTCTTTTCAAGCCCATTATACTATAACACTTATAAATTAGTGGGCACAGATGCTTCAAGGGAGAGAGTTGGACTTATGTTCAATTGAACCTGTATGTTGTTCATTTGTACATAGTTATTTGCATATTGTTTTCCCTCCATTATATTTTGAACTCCAGGGCAGGGATGGACTGTCTAGTGCTTAGCACAGTGCATGGCACGGTAGTAGGTACTTAACAAACGTTTATTGACCAACCAACTTGTCTGTTGCTCAGTTAGGGCACTGGTAGTATGCTGGCCCTAGAGTGTACAGTAGTGGATTAGTAGCGTACCTGAACATCCCCTGGGGTGATATTGCTCTTTGGTAAGGCAATTGGGGTTAAGTGACTTGCCCAGGGTCATACAGCTAGTAAGTGTCAAGTGTCTGTAAGTTCACATTTGAACTCAGGTCCTCCTGACTCCAAGGCCAAGTCTAAATTGACATCCTTTAATGAGAGGGTTTTGATGGGAAAAGAGAAGGCTTACAACCACAGAAGTAAAGTAACAGATACAGTCTTACTTCCCTCATTGAAAAGGAAGAGACGAAAGATTGATTTTTTTTCACACAGCTCTTGATGGGAAGTCACGAATTGCTGAATCTCCCTACTGCCATCCACTTTGCATCCAAAACAATGACAAGCCAGTTTGGTCTGGAATAATTATGTTTGTGAAGAGTAATGTGAAATAAGCCAGAAGGACTTTTAAGAGCCTCGCTGCTTGTTTTTGTATTAGAACACGTGGTTGATGAAGGTTACTTATCAGGACAGTAACATGGTCAGATCTGTGCTTTTAAGGTTATCTTAAAGGGGCAGCTAGGTGGCACAGTGGATAGAGCACTGGCCCTGAAGTCAGGAGGACCTGAGTTCAAATCTGGCCTCAGATACATAACCCTAGCTGTACAAGTCATATTTTTTTTTATTTTAAATTTTTTTAGGAGATCCCTCTTTAGACAGAAATAGGCTGGGAGACCTATGAGTTACGAGATGACATTTTAAACATGTTGCTTTTAATAGGATATCTGTTTAGAGATGGATAATATCCTAACAGGCAGTTAAACATCTCCCTGATGTGGAAACTGAGTTGAGGAGAGATTATTGAGTTCATTGGAGAGGGATGAGATCACAAAGATAAGGTGTAGAGAGAAAAAAGGGCCTTCTGAAACAGAACCTTGAGGGATACCTGTGATTAGGGAATGGGATATAGATGATAATCCAGCAAAGGATACTGAGAAGTAGGCCAGACAAATAGTATGAGAAAAATCAGTGTCAAGAAAGTGGGGAGATAGGAGGAGTGGGTGAGTCAAATGCTAATACAGGTCAAGGAGGATAAGGACAATACAGGCCAATGAGATTAGCCAGTAAGAAAATGATAATCTTGGAAAAAGTGGTTCAAGTTGAATGGTGATGTTTGAAGCCAAATTGAGGTTTAAAAGTGAGGATCAATAAGTCTTAGTGTTTACCCTGTGTTCAGTTTTGTGTTTAGGCTTTTGGGTACTTAAGAACAATCCCCCAAAGCAGTCTATTACAGAGCTTAGGGTGGAGGCAATGAACTTCTAGGAATTTGACTGTGAAGGAAAGAAATCCAGTGATAGCTTGAAGGGATCATAGTATAGCCAAGTGAAGGGTTTTTTAAATGGAAGAGACCTGGGCATGTCTCATTCACTCCACACCTGCCTTCTACAAAAAGGCATGTAGGAGTAAATTTCCTGTCTTTCCATCTGTCCCTCTCCAAAAAATCTACATTTGAAACCTACCCATTCTTGAACCTGTTATCATACCACATTTTTTTGAATCAACATTCAGAGGACACAATGGGTGTGTGTGTGATAGGGCATTGCCCAGTTTATGTGGACAAAAACAAAATTTGAATACCCTCGTAAGTCTTTTGCCCTGCTGGGAAATGCCTTAACTAGCAATAATCTAATAATCTAAGGGAAAAGGAAATCTACATTTGAAGAGAAGAGCTTCCCAGGGACCCTCATTTCTGTGCTTTCCATTAAAGTGTAAGTAAGCCTTTTTGGCAGGAGCTGTTCTGTTTGCCTTTGTATTCCCTGCCCTTGGTGTTTAGTAGGAATTTATAAATGCATGTTGAATTGACTATTGGATAAAAAGCCTTGGATTGTGAGCACTAGTCATGGGAGTTATATGGGATCATCTGGGATTTACCCCTCAATTTTATAGAAGAGGAAACAGGCCCAGGGCTTGAATCCACTTCTCTTAAGTCCCACTTCATCAGTGAAAATGAGTAGGTTCAACAAGGTCCTTCCTCCTACCTCTGATATTCTGATCCAAATAACCCAACATTTGGAAGAGGAGGGAAAAACTTCCAGTAGGAACATGGGAGTCCTCAGAGGGAGCTTTCCAATTTCGGTTTCCTTGGGGAGCACAGAGTTAATCCTTTATTTAGGTTTACAGTAAAAGGGGCCAAGGTTTTATTGCCATTCCTTTGGGAAGGGCAGGATCGGTAGACCAAGATTTAATTGGAGCATCCCTAAAACATTTGCCTCTTTTCCTCTGTCTGGCCTTTTGTAGCAACCAAGAGGTATTCAGACAGGCTGTCCCTAAACTGCGGTCTTGGCCGTGGCTGAGAACCTTACGGCTCCCCAGGACCTCGGAATCTGGGTGCAAGAGGAGGGTGGGTCGGGTTTGTGGCGCTAGGGGCTTTGAAATCACGTAACAATGTGGGCGGGGCCTGAAAAGTGAGGAACTGTTCAGGGTCCTGGCAAAGGGAATTCCACCGGGCGCGTGGCCGACTTGAGATGGTGCGGCTGTCGGAGCGCTCCCTGCGGCAGGAGAAGGAGTTCATTCTAGATGGGGTGGCGTTGAGCTCCATTGCCAGCTCCTACGAACGCACCTTGCCCAAGCTCTGGTCTGCTCTACCTCCTTATAACGCACAGCTGGACGTTCACGCCCGTTCCTACTTCCAATCTCCTGTGGTCCAGTCCGTGTTGCGAAAAACGGACCAGGTGAGAGGGTCCGGAGATCGAAGAGAGGAGGACGGGTCTTCCTAGGGGGTCCTCTTTCCCTCCCTGTTCCCAAGTAGACCCCACCCTCTCTGCCCCTAAGAAGCTGTCCAGGATGAGGTAACTGGAGTAAAGTCCTATAATCCAGCTTCCTACAGCTAAACATCCACGATCTCCCCTTCCCCCAGCATCTCCTCTAATTCCCAGGTGGGTGACAGAACCCAGTCTCATTTTGTAAATCTCCCCTCCTCGTTCTCCCGCCCCCCCAAAAAAACCTGAAACTTGGTAGGGAAGTATGTGACAGCAGGAAGAAAGGAGGAATTTGGGGGAAAAAGTGATATCTATAAAGCCGTCAATTTTGGAAGTTCCTATTTTGGATGCTGAAGGGTCAACCAGAAGAGGTGGCCCAGCTCTTTCCCGCTTGAATTAAGCTTTCCAATCGTTTGCATAGCCCTCTATGATGTCATTTTCCTGACTCCCAGGGGGCCATCCACAGTCTCCAGACAGTGGAGACGACGTCAGGAGACAGAACAAAGGGAAAGTAGCTTCTGGAGTCTATCTTCACCCTTATGACTTGTGACGTCATAATTGTAGCTCTAGACCTTTATGGCATAAGGGAAAGTGGGTGGACTTCTAGAAGATGGAAAATCGGGAGACTCCCAATTGTTATTATTCTGGACTATTCCAGGTAGTTATGGGTGAGAGGGAAGTATCTACACATCTCTCTAAGCTCTTAGTTAACTTTAGTATTAAGTACTACCTAACTGGCATCATCTCAAGAAAACCATACATCCCAAGTAGGTCCACACTTTCCGAGTTGCTGATCTTTCTAAATTCTATTCCATGCCATTGCTTCCCATGTTTGTGTGTCTGTGTACATTTCTTTGGGGAGGAGGGAGGATGAGGATTAAGGGAAATTTCTTTTTGAGCCCATTTTGCTGTTATTCACTTGTGTCTGACTCTTCCTAACCTCCTCAGACCATACTGTCCATGGTGATTTCTTGGCAAAGATACTGGAGTAGTTTATCATTTTCTTTTCCAGTAAATGGAGATTAAGTGAATTGCCCAGAGTCACACAGCTAGTAAGTATCTAGAGCCACATTTGAACTCAGGTCTTCCTGACACCAGGGCCAGCACTCTAGTTCTGTCCACTAAGCTATAGTTCTATCCAGTGAGCCATCCAGCTGCCTCTTTTGAGCCCATACATAATCATTATTTATTCCTCAATATATGTGCATGTGGATACAGGTGTGTGTGTGTGTGTGTGTATGTACACACACACACACACACACACACATACACACCCTTATATCACAATGTTATCTGCAGTTTGGAAAGTACTATGCCCTGCCTTAAGTTCTTGGCAAGAAGAACATAGGCACCCGTTAAATGTGTCCAAATCCTAGTGGCCCCTGCCCTACCCTAGTGACTTCTTTCAGCCTCAAGGAGACAGGACCTGTAAGTGTTGTCACTGAAGAAATGACAACTATACTTCCTTTCCTACTCCCTACCCCCTCAGACCCATGGTGGGACAAGTCAAGATGGCTGGATAGTAGATTACTTCCACATCTTTGGGCCAGGACAGAGATATCTGAACAGGAGAAATTGGGCAGGGGCAGGTAAGAGCCTCTTCACCTTCCAAAAGGGGGAGGGAGCATGGCACTGGGCAAAGGGAATTGAAGCCTATACAAAACAAGTTGGGGGAGGGGGAATGCTATAACAGGACCATGGCTGAAACCTAGACATTTAGATTTAGGCCCTCGGGTTTTTCCACACCCCACCAGGAAAACTATGCTGCCTCCTACCTGTAGCATCCTTCTCACTTGAGGGAGGTTCAAATGCAGCAGCAATGAGAAAGGCATTCATCCAAAGAACAGATCTTACCTTTGTGGAGGGAAACTCTTCCCCCTTCTTTCAGGTGAACCTATGGGTTCCTTTGACCAAGGATCAGTGACAACAAAGAAGAAATGCAGATTTACTTCCACTAAAGGAACAAGACTCCTTCACTTGCTACCTAGGAATGTTTAAGATAGCCCAGTCCCCTTACTTTTATTTGTAATTTTCCCTTGGTTTCTTATCTCACCTCTAACAATCTCTAGTATTTAGAGATTTTCGACTGTATGATCCTCAAGATTTAATGCTTCATTCCAAGAGCTTGGAACATTTTAAAATACTCTCCATCTGCCCCTAATTCCGAGTACTCAAGCACCCCTCTACTTGCTTCCCATTCTGTTCTTATTGGGGGCAGGGGAAGTAGTGTGCAGGAGGGAGAGGATGAGATGCTGGCTGAACTAGGAGAGTTAACTATCCTCTCTTTGCCCCAAAAGGGCACTCCTTTCAGCAGGTGACCGGGCATGACAGCTACAATGCAGATCTTAGAACAATCAGAGGTTACAATGGGCGATTTGGCTATCGCCGAAATACCCCTGCCCTTCGCCAGCGAACATCAGTCTTTGGAGAAGTCACCGCATTTCCACTATTTTAGCACAGCCTAACCTCTCTCCTCTCCATTCCTTACCCTATTTCTCAGTATATACATTTAAATAAATTTTGATTTTTAATCTGCTTTATTTTTAGTAACCTGTGGCTCCAAATGCTTTGGTGTGGCTTTTTTCCTAGATAAGCAAGTCAAGTATAGAATAGAAAAAATTCCACAAATTTCCTGACCTCTAGTCTTCTCTAAGATAGTAGAGAGGGAGAGAGTGGAAAGATAAGGGAGGGTTCTCACACCATTTCTATAATCTTTCTCAGGCTGAAACAGAATTGAAAAACAATGCCTGCCCATGAGATGACAATGCCTGCCTGCCCATGGGGTGACAAGGCCTAGTTATTCTCCCTGTTCATCCAGGACAAGACAGGCACTAAGAGGGACCTAAAGCTGGCTCTAGGAAGGGCTTCCTAAAGATAAGGGTTGCCCAAGGGGAGGAATGTGGAACTTCTCCTTTCCTGGGAACTGGCCTTTCCTTCAGCAGATGAGTTGGAATTCACAGGATCATAAATTTAGAGCTGGAAGGAAACTTAGAAGGCCACTAGTCCAATTCTCTCATTTACAAATGAGGAATGAGCTGAGAGGTTGTGACTGCCCGAGGTCTTGAGTAGCAGAGCTCAAATTCAAATCCAGAATTCTGTATGTATGTTGGGAAGCAGTGGGTTAGTCCAAGGAATGTCTGATTGTGTCCTGATAGTTTTATTCAGTCAAAAAGTGGAAGGTTATTACCATTCATTTTTATGAAGTGTAGGCTTTCTGCATGCAGGATGGGGCTGGTTTCCTTTTCAGTCTTTGGGGTTGTAGTTTCCAGGGTGTGTCAAGTATGCAATCAAAGGGAAGATAGGACCAAGTCTTTTTTCAACTGACCCAAGCTGTTTGTATTACCCTGGTGTCTTTTGTTTGATGAAAAGTGAACGTAGAAAGAAAGGAGGAGCTTAGCACACAGAAACCAGTATGGGTGGAACCTATTAGGAGTGAGTCACTACAAATGGACTAGGAAGACGGGCTGATCAGGGTGTGTGGGGGTATAGCTCAGGGGTAGAGCATTTGACTGCAGATCAGAGGTCCCCGGTTCAAATCCGGGTGCCCCCTTAGCCATATTTTCTCTTATAAAAATACCCAGCTGTATTTAAATACTCTTTCTCATTGAGAAGGGAGGATTGCCCAAACTTCTGAACACTGTGAAGATATGCAAATATTCCTCATAAGAATTTCCTTTGGAAATTGTTGCTTAGGGCTGAACGGCAGTTTGTGTTGTAAAGTCCAGTGAATGACTTGAGTCGGGGGTCCCTTAACTACTTTAGAGTTAAGACCTCCAAAGCAGAGCTCCTTATTTTTTCCCCAAACTCGGCCATCTTTCTAACTTCCCTATCTCTGTGGAGGGCACGATTGACCTGCCTGTTTTGCAGGTTCTCAATCTCAGTGTCACATTCAATTCTTCACTCTCACTCACTCCATGTATCCAAACATTTGCCAAGCCTTGTCATTTCTATTTCTACACCATCACTCAGCCTAAATCCCCATCTCTCCACTCTCTCAGGCCACCTTCCTAGTTCAGACCCTCATCATCTCTCAATGGAACTATTGCAATAGCCTTCTAATTGTTCTGCCTCTTTTTACTCTCCCGGTAGTGATTTTCCCAAAGCGCAGTTCTGTCCAAGTCACGGCTCCCCGTATTCTCCACTTCTGGCCTTCAGTCTGTTCCTCAAGCTCCTTTTCTGATGTTAAGTGGAGCTTTCCATACCTAGCAAAAGACGTAAAACTTGGACAGGCCTCATCAGCGCCAAGAAAGTGAGGCTTAGAGTAATCGATTTACATAAGAAAAGGTCTAACAACGAATTTGCCCCCAGGGGCCATGATTGCTTCTTCTTTTTTTTTTTCCTTCTCTCTTGCATAAACAACAAATTTGGCCCCTGGGGAATAGATTTGCTTCCGTACCTTTCTCTAGCATAAACCAACCCAAAATCATTAGAGTATTTTAAACAATTTTTTAAAAACCAGCAACAACAACCTAGGCAACTCCAAATCCCAGAACTGTTTGATGAATGTTGGAGAAATGACTATTGCCTAAATATGGTCTCGCCTACAAAAAAACAAAGATTTGAGAAATGTACTAGATAGTCACCGTAAATTAGGGTGAGTTGTCTCACCAAGCCACCCTCTGGAGGAGTTCCCGAGAGGAAAGGCTTTATAAACAAAGTCCCTCTAGGCTAAGTGGTGAAAAACCTCTGAGTTAAGACCCTGAGGGAAGAGAACTGAAGATGATTAAGCCAAATCTTAAAATTCCCTGTGCTGTCTAAAAATATTCATCCATTTCATTTGGATTATCAGTTTTATTGGCAAAATAGCTTCTAATGATTTCTTTTACTTCTTGATTGGTTGTGAATTCACCTTTTTTTGGTTTTGATGTTGGTAATTTGTTTTTCTTCATTTTAAAAATCAAGTTAGCTAATGGCTTATCTATTTTATTGTGATTCTGATGAGGATGGGATCTGAACCCCTAAAAGAAAAAGAC